GATGCCCTTGATTGCCTTTTCTTCCCTAATTGCGATGGCTAAAACTTCCATTACGATGTTAAAGAGCAACGGAGACAATGGGCATCCTTGCCTGGTTCCTGATCTGAGTGGAAATGATTTCAATTTAACTCCATTCAATACAATGTTGGCTGTAGGTTTCTCTAGCTAGTATTAAATGCCAAGCTAAGGACTTTTGAAACTTATCCCACAGACAATGGGAAATAATTCAGCTTTTGAGCAGGAAAGGAATATGAAAGAAAAGCCTTGTTTTTAGGGAAATTGCTTGTGCGGCACTGGGAGAGTGATTTGGAGGAAGAAAGTCTAAACGTGACAAAGCCTGCAAGGCCCCGTCAGCAGCCAGCCAATCTTAAGGTCCAAGGGCCTTGCACAGAGTGAAAAGGGTCAGAAAGGAAAAGGAAGAGCAGGTCCTCAATTATGTCCATGCTAAAAAGCAGTGAGATGTCGTATCCAGAGTTTTGAATTCCTTCATGCATTCATGAACTCACCCATTCTCCGAGTAGCCACCGGGCATTCAGTAAGTTAGGAACTTAGCGCATACAGACATGGTCCCTGCCCTCTGCCACTCATGCTGCTAGGAAGGTGGGAAAATGCTATAGGCGTGGGTACGAGAAAAGGAGGCTCACTTGATTACATGGTGGTCTGCAAAGAGGGGGATGTTAAGGTTTCTGGGGGATGTGCTCGGCAGGGACAGGAGAGGGGTGCAATGTGTCAGGAAAAGCTTCAAGAGCTGGGGCTGCAAAGTATCAGAGCTAAGATGCCGATCTGCTGATTTTTTTTGTTGCTCTTTAACCAGAAGTACTATTTCTGGATGTTATCACCACCACCAATTTGTGATTTCTGAGCATAGGTGAACTTGTTTCAATTGCGAACACGTAGGAACTGGTGCTGGACCATGCTAACCAATCATTCCCACTTTAGACCTACTTTCAACAGGGAAGGGTTTTCCAGTTGAGCTGGGATCAACCTACATGAAGGAAGTGAGTGTCAACAACAAGTAAGGCATTTGGCACCCAACTCTTCTGGATGCAGAGGTCACTGTCTTGACAAAAACTACTCAATGGGCACAGTGGAAAACACTTGGAATCCTGCCTGAAGAATTTTAGACTCTGGCTGGCTGGGATCAATATTTTGAAAGAAATAAGTGTGGGTGTCATGCTGAGATGGAGAGCAGGTGAAACCAACTGGGACATTGGA